TTTAATATATGTATATATATATTCTGTGGAACTGATATACGTTGAAGTTTATACACGTCGTATCCGGTACAGTACCACAGGCCGTTTTATTTGTGTGCCCAACTTTACAAACGCTATATGTGTGAAACATGGTATGTTAAATCTGGTTTTATGAGCATGAAGCAATTAGAGCACGTAGGACATCAGAGCCCATCTTAATCCCAGCACTGGGGTAGATGTAGTTCAATCGGCGACAATTGCAGAAGGCGTTCTATCAGTCGGGTTTTGGAGCGATAAACTTTGACATACATTAGGTGATAGAAGAATATGTGGAAATGTTTGTACTCATAGCTTGCAACTCAGTATCATGTTCGTGGTAGAATACACAAGTGCACTAGTAAGAAGTCAACAGTAAAGGACGCCGTATAATGCATATACACATACCTGACACCTCGGAGTCATCCTCGCTAGTCACCACTGCCATCGTTGAGACATCTATGCACGAGTCCCTGTGCGAATCCGCTGACAATTCCCTCATTTTGATATGGGAAATACTTGAACTATGGTTATAAAGTATATCGTAATCTATGAGTAATTGTTTAGAATGCCTCGTATTTTCCATATAACGATGGTACTTCAACGCCGCACAGTAGTGTTGACTAGGGGCTGTTCTAAATCAATAGTATCGGGAAAAAGGTTTAATTGCAGCTATGCGTAGTTCTGGGTAAATGCAAGCTTACAGCCTTCAATAGAGTTTATTCTGAGGTTCATGTAGCACGCGAGGCTCCAATATACAATTCACATGTGTGTAGATTATCCAGGTATCCAGTCTACAGGATGAGATGCGCTTCAGGGATCACTTCTATTATGTATGTTTTGAAGAGGAATTCCACAGTACCTGCTGGATTGAATAGAATTCTTCAGTTTTTGGTCAAAAGTGTATACATTTTACTGATGATGAGTAAATAGGTCATCATATATATTTATCTGCGACATTCAGACATACTACTCTTAAGAGTTATGAGAGCGTCATAGTATTTCGAGTTTTTGACTAAATATGTATTGGGACGATAAATATCGATTCCAGTAATTCCCGCTAATAAAGTAACCGGATTGTCTGCCACTACGAGAACGCACTGTCATTCGCGGAGAAAATACCAAATACAGACGTCAGCACTCAGCAGGACAGTCAGTCAGCCCGTCAGACGCTCAGCCCACAGCCCCACAGCCCCAGGCACCGACGCCTCGCCGTCAGTAATCAACCCCATAACACTATAGCCATCAAACTAAATTTATTGATCATAGCGTCCTGAAAAGACACGCATGACACAATGGCTACGAGAACAGCAGAGAACTATTTTAAAATGCATATTTATGTATTTGTGTTGTTTGTGAGACCGATATTTAATATTTGTTGTACACATTTTTAAGTGAACCTATACAACGTGTATCAAGTAGGTCGAGTGCTTCTTTTATTCCATCTGAGCAATGAAACCGTCCATCCTATTTGAAGCTCTCAATTCATTTTCCGGTGAAGAGTGGTGAAATTCCAAGGCTTTTTCGGCGTCGACGAATTGATTCATGATGAACCCGTTCCTGTGCCTGCTTCCCAGAGCTTCTGTTGTTCGATGGTACGTCTAGCGTCGACGAACGTAGTTGCATATCAAATGCAGATGATTTCTGAATGTATAGAACGCATCGTGTTGTTCTTGTAAATACATATACTCGCTTATATTATATCTATATATCTATATCTATATTTCTATATATATTTTATATATTTATATATATAT